TTAACACAAGTATTATTAGTATTGCTAGTATTGCTGGTATTGCTGGTGTTACTAATGTTAACACAAATCTAAGAACCAATAATATCTATAATATTTATAATATAATTGTTCAATAAAATAACAGCTAACTAAAAATAATTATTCAATAGAAATATGATCCAATAATAATTAATATCTTCATTATCCAATAGAATTGATTGTCAAATATCATATCATGACAATATGAGAGATTTTTTTAGTAAGATCTTTAAATGGTTTGAAAATTGAGCCATTTGCTCTAAAAATGTCCATTGAGAAAGAGAAATCAAATACTGGTAAAACTTATTATACAAAAAATTAATGAATTTAAAGCCTATAAAATTATAAATATCAATATAGTTATAGTTTATTTATAATTAAAAACAACAGAATCTAAAAACTTACTGATTTTAAATATGAGCCATTTTTTATCATCATAATTTTGAAATTTTTATAACAGACCTCAGGAAATCGAGATGTTTGCTGCTGGCATTCATCCCATGTTTCGTATATCCCTGGTTTTCGTCCGGTGTACGGCATAGTACTACGTTTTTCTTCCTTCCATTTCGTAATTACTATTTTTTCGTGTTGATTCCCATAGTCAAAGGATAATGCTCTAAATATTGTTTGGTTCAGTGAGCTTGTATTTATTTACTATAATTTTATTTTGTCGATACCGTTCGGACTACCAACCTAAACTTTTTCTATATAGAATTCTCCTTCGTAGTCCTCGAAGGTCGTTTGTTGTTGTTTGATATAATTTTTAAACAATTTTCTCGTCCACGGGAATTCGAGTATATTATTTTTGGTAATTGTTATTGTTGTTACTACGCCTTTTGCTCTCATTCGCTTACAAAGTGATTTTTTCGAAGCAGCTGTTTTGGGTTTGTGGGTATCCATCGATATTTCAATTATTCTGGTGTGTTATATACGACGATTGTGTACCGGTACCCTCAATCTGCCGGACATCTCGCAGAGATCGTCAATGCTGTCCAGTATTATGAATGGATTTGGCAACATGGAGAGATAATGAAAGGATATCTTTTATTGAGCTTTTTCATATATAATAATAATAAATAAATTAATTAAAAAGTTATCATCAACATTTCAAAGCACATGACACAATGTCCTATGATGTGCCGCGTGTGACTTTGAGGACCTTTCTGTCTTTTCATTTATGGAGAAACATCGGGTGGAGAACTATGGGACTCACTCTCAGTGGTGGAACTTTCCAAAAGAAGTAAGAAAAGAACAGAGAAGAGGAAGATAAACTGAGGATCTGATTGATCTTGCCACTTGACGATACGGTCGAGTACCAAACAGCGCAAAACTCAATTCTGTAAATATAAGTTGGAAGGATTAGGTACTCCAGGAGGAATACCTACATTGTCTTGACACAAAAGATTCAAGAAAATTAGCAATTTTCAACTGGCATTTCATAATTTCTCATTCCTTCAGATCAGCCAATAATCTCAGACGACAAACGACCAAGTAAGTCGTCCGCGCAGAGCTGCTGTGATTGTTGGGGTTGTCGGTGTTCGGTCAGCGAATAGCCTTGAACGTCAGACAACCGAGCGTGCCTAACACCAACTTTGTGGCTCAGAGAGTAGCCTTGAATGGCCGACGACCGAGTAGATCACCGTCACGCCACCACCCGCTTTCTAGCAAAAAGAGTTTTACTTACCTTTATATATCCGATTAATTTTATAAATAGTACCAAATGCCAGCCCATTCCGCAGAATTTCCAACACTCATCATCAATTACTTATATCATACCATAAAGGGACAACCTGCTCTGCTATTTTTGTTCTTTGTTAACAATTGATTTTGATATCAAATGATTCTATCTATATTGCCTTCAAGTGTATTCCATTCGGAGGGCGTCGTCCGAAATATGGTGCATACCATCTAAAGTCATCAAACGTTTATTTTATAAAATGGACAAACTACTAAGAAGTAAATACAAAATTTAAGCTGTAAATATGCTCAGAAGGGCCTATTCTATCATATTTACGGATTAAACTTTGTATTTACTTCTTAGTAAAGAAGTTTATCCATTTTATAAAATACGAACGTTTTGATGATTTTAGATGGTATGCACCATACTCATGTGTTCTGTAAGTGTTATCGGATTATTGTTGACACGATGTAAAAGGAAGAACTATATCGCGAGTAGTGCTCAGACAATATTATTTGACCCTGGGAGGCGTTTAACATATCGATATTAACATTAACGTTAATATTTGTCTGTCATTCTTATTTTATTTTAGGCTTTTTTATTTTATTTTATTTAGGATTTTGTTTATTATGGTTTAAATCTCGGTTTTTGTTTACATTTAATTGCGAGCCACTAGACATAGCCCAGTCAATTTGGCATGATTTTTTCCAAGTCCAATTGAAAAATAAAAAATTTCTGCTTTTTGGTCTATACTTCAACCGTGATTGATATGATTGATTTAACGTTAACGTTAATGCGAAAATTAAATGTATTATTGTTTAAGAATTTCCATAGATAAGGTTTATGAAATTTGAAGCAGCTTTAACCAGTTCGTCTTCTTTTCATTGTCTTAACTGTTTTGGTTAATACCGAATTTCTTGCTTGTTGAAAAAATACGTACTTGTTTTGGTTTTTCATGATAGTTAATAATCAACAATTTTCCTTTAGTATAACATTGTGTAGAACGGTTTTCAAATTTTTTTTGGGAAACAAACGCGTTTATTTTACGGGATACTAACAGTTTAGAACTGTGGTTTTTTTAATGTCAAAAACCAATGAATACATTAAAATACACGGGAGCTTTGATAATTCCTTGTATTTCACGGCACACCTCGAAATATAAAAATAGTAAGAGAAATCATCGGATATCTCGAAAACGACGAAGAAATTCCGTAAAAGTCGGACATAGGTACCCGGGCCGGGGTATTTCCATAATTCGATTTAGTACCCAGGGTATTTCTATAGAGGGGTATACTGTATTAATAGAGGTATTTATGTCGGGCTGAACGACCTCTAAGTTGCTTCCAAAGGCTCAATCTTCTTGAGCAGGACAACGGCTCGTTGATTGGGTTTTTTGGAAGTTTTTTTCTTCGAACTTGTACAAATTATGCTGTACTACGCTCTCCTGCATATAATACCCGGGTATAAATCACAATCCGACCTTTAAAATGGTGAGGGGTACATCTCATGGGGGGAGGGGGTACCTATGTCCGACTTTTACGGTGCTTGTCGAAATGGTCGAACCAAAAAGTAAATTCGAAAGAAACTTCTTCAAAATATAAATAAACACTTTGAATATAATAAAAACTCGGACGAAGTTTACTACACCGAAAGCGATTTCTAGAGCTCCGACTGAAACCAAATGGTCTTAGGTTTTAACTTCTGGGAACCAGCGAATAAATATAATATAGTGGAATGGGTTTGGAAAAATTACGGGAGACTGAACCAACAAAGTATCGGTATAAAGAAGAAAACCAAACGGTGGTTAAATATATAAGTTGCTCTGACAGTAGTGAAAACCGGAAAATTCTTTATAATAAACTTGGATCTGTTATTTTCATATTCTTAATCGTAGACTTGCCCTCATAATAATAGTAAAAGTGATTACTAAAGCATTTTGGAATATTTAAATTTACAGAAAGTTGGCTTAATGGATTTTTAAATCGATATAAGCTTCAAATCGTCGTCGTATCACACAACTCTTGCCTAACGATTAGAAGAAAGCTTTATTTTATATTGACGTATTCAAAATAATTATACACTCAGTTTTATGGACAACATGGATGAAATTCCTATTATTAGTATTCGAACAACAGGCAACGAAAAAAATTTTACCACAGTTCTTGGATGCATGGCAGATGGACTAAATTACCTCCTGTTTGCATTTCCAAATTAAAAAATATATCGCGGGGATCTTTCCAATGTAGTATTTGTTCGCGCAAATGAAAAAGGATGGGTTAACGAACACGAAATGTTGTAGTGGATCGAAAATGTATGGATCCAAAGGCAACCTTACAAGAACATACACGAATCTCACCCCTGGCCTAATGTAATACATATTATAAGAAAAACATTAAAACCAACGGATCATTAATCATAACCAAAAAATAACGGGAAATCATACCTGCTACCAGAAACACCGAAAAAACTCGCAAGAAAAATCCACTTTGCAGAATGTATAAATAATAATCGACGGAGGAATTGCAGCAGGAAAAAAATACCAATAACAAAGCTCGCAGAAAAATTACAAAGAAATGGGACTATCCGTAACCTTTGAAACAAACTGAAAGAATAATTAATCCGCTAAACCAACCGAATAAAGGATTCTCAAAATGTAAAAAATAGTGATCGAGAGAGGAATTACTCCCCAAACTGGCTCAATACATCTGTAATAATGGGTACACTGTAAGAATTTTTGAAGAAAACGAGACGTGAGTTCTCGTTCACAATTCGTTAAAGCTTCAACGTCAAGCGGAAATGTCATATCATTTGATGTTATCGGTGGCAAATGTTCAACGTATCTTTCAGGATATCGTTAAAGAGAAACAACGTTATCGTCGTGAGATTGAATGTGTTTATGCATTTGCATGATCAGTTTCGTGCGTTGCGTTTAATTTCTCGATACATGTTGAATAGTTTTCATAATGTGTTGGCATTTAATGAGTTGATTGGTCAGGGTGAATATCTTGAAAAATTCTACAATGAGCCACAAGGATATAGACTGCTCCTCCAGGATGAAGTCAGGTAGAAGCAGCAAAGACTTCGTAATATTCGAAAGAACCCCATCGAGCAGAGTAATTTTCAGAACAATAAACAACTCGAAAGAAGAAACAAGGCAATTTTTAATGGAAAAAACACCCAAAGAATCAAGATTTCTTTGACAATGTCCTAATAATTCAACTTCGAACAAATATTAAAATATCCTTAATAGAAGACCTATGAACAGAAAACAACTCAGGAGAAGGATACAGTAATTCCTTGAAAAATGCTTGTAAAACCAGAAATTTTTCAAAGACGTAACTGTGGTCCAATTGTAACAATTCAACAGAAAGGTATCGTTAAAAGAGGGTGATCATATGAATAAGGAATTATCTCCACCAATTAGGACTGGCATACGACACTGAAATAAACTGGCGATCATAAACGTAACAACATTATGTTATGATGAAGAAAACGCCCATGAAATAATGGGAATAGCCTTCAAAATCATCAACGATCTATTAAAAAAAAGAAGGAAGTCAATTATCCTTGACAGAACCATTGAAACCTCCACAGAAACTAAGAAAAAGCATACCATCACCATAACCTACCTTATCATTTCCATCATTTAAATAATGAACCTGATCTCAAAAAGAACTACGTAGTTTGTTTTATGTGTACTATATACGGAAGAATACCTGCAACAATTGGAACAATTATACGATGACAAAATGACTTGGCTGTATACTAACAATTTTCTGGTCGAATATGAAAACGAAAGCGTCCACGAAGTAGCCGAAAAGGTATTCGTCATCATAAATGACATTCTAAAAAGAACCAAACCAACATATGTTCTGTGTCTTCTACACAATGAATGGTTTATTCCTATCCCAACGAAAGGAAAAACCAGAAGATAATGCCTAACCTCTGGCAGACACCTAACGGAAAGGTTGAACCAGAAGATCAAACAAGCAAGGATGCATGTGTTCGAGAAATACTTGAAGAAACAAGACTTCTTGCTGAACCGCAATACATATTTATATCGCGAAGGTCGATAATAGACCACTCAAATTTAAAGAAGAAAAAACAGCCCGTGGAAGCTGGTATCTTTTGAAAACTACTCTATTTTAGTAGCTTTCAATTCACCACTGGAACGCACGCTTTATATTACAAAGGAAGTCAGAAAGGAGATCAGTGAAGCGTATTAAAGCTAATTTCATTGATCTTACAATTTCTGTTAAGCCCGATTTCGTTGATCTGCTTTATTATATCCAAAAATTATATCTCAAATCTCTATGCAGTGTTATATTTTAAATTTTTATCTTTTTATTTTTTTTCAATCCTTAATTATATTTAAATTCTCTTAAACAATAATGTACATATCAGCACAGGATCGGAAACTAGCAGATATTGTTAAGTCTATTCACTCTCCTTCAACTAATTGTTGCAGGAAAATCGTTGATTACACCTAATTACGAGCCACCCATGTCATCTTGGTACTCTCTCTGTGAACCAAATTTATAACACCGCAGACATAATCCTTTCAATCGTGATATCTCAACAAATCACTTGCGAGACAGGATCAGACATGGAAACTAGTAGTGAAGACCGAATTATACTACCGTGAAGCGTTCTGTATAGTATCCCCCCTTGTAAAAATTTGAACCACAATTTAGTTCAATTTTTTTAGTAAATTTTTGTAAATAATTAAATTAGATTTCACTGCGATTTTTTAAAAAATTTAGTTACTGGTTTAACAGCCTTGAGGTTAAATTGAGGTTTAAATTTTATACAAAGGGGGATACTATACAGAGCGCTTTACGGTACATACTGGAGAAAGCACCAAAATAACGAAATTGGAAATCAGGAATTAGAAAAATTAAGAAAGCAACAACATGAACAATCTTGTCCAAATCCTGGCTGAACTCACCAATGTTATACTGGATTAGCTCGACGATCAGAAAAGATCCTCATTTCAATTAAGAAGTTCTGAGATGAAAACCAAGATTCGGTCAAGTGGCTTCATGATTTCGAGATCACTGTCCAAGCTAATGGAATCATCAACGAAAGGAAGATCCAAATCATATGAGGATATCTTGAAGGAACTACCACCATTTGGTTCGATCAGAGAAACACTAACAACAACTTTTGATTAAATATCTGGACAAACCAGCAACATGATGCTTTAAACACTGATTTATCTTGAAATTCTGAACAAATAGAAAGATGGAGCAATGGTAAAAGGAACAGGAAATCCTAAAGCAAGATGAAACCATAAAAGAATATACCAATTGGTTCGTTCAATTTTTGAAGAAGGTTGATTACAATGGCCATTATCCAGCGGATTACAACTGCTAGAGAGGCAAACACACGCCAAGAATATATAATCAGCATTGCAATCAACAAAACTTCAGAAACTGATCAACTTGTTATCAATGTGGTAAGATCAGTCATATATCAGTCATATACAATGGTACTGTATGAAAATTATATATTAACTCTAAACCCCGTAGTTACAGTTCCGGCGGAAAGTAATGGTATAACGTGTTTTTTCACGTTTTTTGTAGATATTTCGGGGAGGATTTATCCAAAGTCATGAAAATTTGTATAAATATTTTTTAGGATGCTAGGAACAAGATTTGCTAAGGTCATAAAGCATGTTAACCTAGTAATATTTTGCGTTATTTGGTGTCAAACTTGGCGAACTGGGGGCTACCTTGGGGATACCTCCATTAAGTAGATTAAAAACATTATTTCAAAATATTTTCAATAAGCAAGCATGAAAATATTTTTGTGAAAATATATTTGAAGATACAAGAAATAGATTTGCAAATTTAAAGGCTTAATTTTGATGATTTCCTTAATGAATCATAGTAAATTATAATTTTTACTATGATTTATTAAAATTAAGCCTTTTTTTGACTGCCATTTATTCAATGAGTATGAACTAAAATTTTTTTAAAATTTGCAAATATATTTATTATTCTTCAAATATATTTTCACAAAAATATTTTCATGCTTGCTTATTGAAAATATTTTGAAATAATGTTTTTAATCTACTTAATGAAGGTACCCCCAAGGTAGCCCCCAGTTCGCCAAGTTTGACACCAAATAACGCAAAATATTACTATATTAACATGCTTTATGACCTTAGCAAATCTTGTTCCTAGCATCCTAAAAAATATTTATACAAATTTTCATGACATTTGGATAAATCCTCCCCGAAATATCTACAAAAAACGTGAAAAAACACGTTATACCATTACCCAACAAAATAACCCGGTCCCATGCTATTGATAACGACTGTATATAAATGGCAGACTTTACTTCGGTTGCCTAATTATGTGTGACTTCAAGCAGTGTGACGATTGCAGATGAACGCCAGAACCAGCTGAAATAGGAAAAGGTCGAGTTTAATTTGGTGCAGAGAAATCGAAAATGAAGACAAGGCTCAAACCGACAATATTAGAGATGCAGTTAGAATCCAACACGGAGTCACAAAACCAGGAACACCACCCGCAGCCAGCCGGTCAATAAAGTTATATATGAACAACTTTACAATTTGAAGAACATCAATTACCTCATCAAAGTTTATACCAATAAGGGAAGGGGGAAAACTGCCCGAACGAGCACATGCCACTGATGTCGGCTTCGATTTGCAGTAACCTCCGCCAAATCATTCTGGTCGATCTTTCCAGGAACTGTCTGCCGTGAAGCATGGAATCGAGATGAAGGCGGGACGATCGATGCCAGATACACAGGAAACATTGGTGTGCTTTTATACAACAACTCGACCCTGCTTTATGTCATTCGACCTAATGAACGGATAATCCAAACAGTGTTCCTAAAGCGTAGGAAGGAATTGGGAGAAAAGAATCGAGGGAATGCCAACTTGGGATATACAGGCTGTGATGAACTGGAAACGTGGATCAAGATTGAATAAAGAAAACTAACTCACGACAAACTGACCAATTCAATAAACTCTTAAACACATACCGGGATATTTCGCCGCTGACACACCAGTAAAGATTAAAAAATTCGGGGGTAACAAATATTCGTTGCCTTTATGGTTCTAAAAGCCAAAATCGAGCCTAGAGTTCGCACTAGAAATCTCGAAAATCCTGACAATAAAAATCGTAGTCAATTAAATTGATAAGTGATATTGAGATGACATTAATAACATGTATTTTATTATAAATTTTAAAAAACTAGCAATTGACATTGACATTTGCCAACACTGCTTTGGTGAGATAATATCACCTCGTGACATTGCAATTCCACAAAATACATTTGTAAAATTAATGATAACGAGTTTCATATAACATATACGATGTTTTTGTGAATCATGAAATTATGTAAAAATTTAGAGAATTTAATTTTATTAATCACTACCGCAATAATTGTAAGCCGGAATATTAATAAACCGGATTATAAACCGAATTTTTTAATTAAACCAGATTTCGGTTATCGAGTTTTACTGCGTGTATATTATTTTGAAATTTTATTACTAAACATATATCATCGAATTTCGAATAATTTACTTTTCAGAATGTTTACCCGACAAGACTTTTTTAGACAACCATCCAAACTCACGAAATAATAAATACAACAAAATCAATCTTCCATTTTGATTTAGTACACATTCTTATTCTATCAAACGACACATTCATTATTTAATATTAATGTTCGAATAACTAATAAACAGTATACTTAGGATTGAAACAGTCCCACAAAATTACTAATTTTAGAAATTAGTTTTTTTTTACAAGCTACTACTTATGATAATGTTTTAATATAATTTACTTGTTAAAATAAGTAATAAACTCCTTGAGAAATCAGAATCTTTTAAAATGCTTGAAACAGTCCCAAGAAAATTGCTGATTTTGGAGATAATTTTATTTCACAAACTATCGCTATTAATAAAACTTAACTTTAATAGCAATGTTTTAAAAGGTTACTTCTTATAGTTATTCAAATTTGACTTTTCTAGAATTAGTAATTTTCGTTTATAAAATTGTTTGGATTACAGTATACCGATTTATATTCGACTATAGCTTATCGATATTCGATTATACATGTATTATATTCGATTTAATATTGTCCATGTGTGAATCAAAGTTACCATATCTTTCAAAAAAAAAGAGGTAATATGTACGTAATTAGTCGTAAGGATGAACGAAAATCTGATTAATCTTTTCTCGTCAATAACGATAAACTACAGTATATTTATAAGGGATAACCCAGCCACGGCAAAAAAAGTGTCAGGTCATGTGATCTGAAATAGGTCCATTAAAATATCCGATTAATATTAGATATTAAGTATTAGAGCTGAGATCAAGATTATATATAAATTGTCTTCCCGACATTTTTTGATAGTTCACCAAGTTAGATTTAGATATCTGTTTTTTTCGCATTTTTGTCTTTTCTCATTTGATTTGTTTTGCCGGATTGATTGAGAATTGAATTGAGAAAACGGTTAAAGCGTAGTCCATCACGTGATATATCTTAAAAATATTAAAAGGTAATTTCAACGTTAGGGTTAGGGTTG